TTGTGAAAATAAAAACCAGCTTTAGAAGCTGACCCAAACGAAGATTACATTTGAGCCCAAAACATATGTGTTCTATGAACCCCTTGTTTGGCTAAGCTATCTGCCAAACTATTGGCAGTTCTCCTCACCCATCTCACTCGGATTGAGATGCCGTGTAACCCCCTCCCCCTTATGCAGCCATTTTACCACAGTTTTCAAGTCTCCCTCAATAATCTGTCTACTAATACCCCGTTCTTTGGCCTTTTCAACCCCATACACTGCTGCCAAGAACTCTGACCTTGCCACATCACCTTGCAGCCATTTTACCACAGTTTTCAAGTCTCCCTCAATAATCTGTCTACTAATACCCCGTTCTTTGGCCTTTTCAACCCCATACACTGCTGCCAAGAACTCTGACCTTGCCACATCACCTTGCTCCACAGGACCAGAATATAAAGCAAGTATGTTCCCATTTTAATCCCTAATTGCCCCTCCCCCCCCCCATACCTAAAGGGCCCGGATTACCCAAACAGCTCCCATCAAAGTTCAGTTTTTTCCAGCCATTTATTGGGGGAGACCATGTGTCAACAGATCTCTGTCTTGTAGATGAGGATGCAGCAATAACACCCCAAGCTCTGAAAAATCCTCAATTGAAGTCTGAAAACAGCTTCATGCTCTTTGCCCAGTGTGCCACTCTCTTTTATTTTATGAGTAATATAAAAAAGATTTATTAAAATAAAAAGGATTACAAAAGAGGTGACTAGATGGCACCGTGTGCCACTCTCATAGCTATTGTTTCTACCAAGGCTTCCTTCTTTCCTTTTTCTTCAAATATTCTTGCATTTCTTTCCTCCCAACCAGTCCAAAATAATGCTCCTACCCCTCTTTTTTGCATAGCTAATGTCATTAGGGCTAAACAAACCATCCAGCCTATCAGGAGAAGACCACCTGCAGCCAAAGAGAGAAACAAACCAATCCCAAATAAAGCTAACAAAAAAGCAGGAGATTAGAAGATGAACTGCAGTCTCATCATTCAATTTACAAAGGACACACCAGTTGGGGGGACAAGCACCACTTTGGTCTTTTTCTTCGGAGAAGATCATAGGTATTAATACAACCATGAAACATTTCCCAACAGAAAGCACTGATTTTAGGGGGAATGGGAGAAAACCAAATTTCCTTTATTGAGAAAGAAAGGGAAGAGAAGGTGGCTACCAAAGAATGTAAGGACTTACAAGAAAACAACTCATCATAATTGGGACCCCAAACTCTAGAATCCATGCCACCTTCACCCAAGAAAACTGAATTCAACAAGCCCAACAGCTCAGTCACAATAGGAAGTTCAGATTCTCTAAGGTTCCTATTAAAGCCAAAATTCTAGTTCAGTCTTTAAGGATGGTGATGCTGACTTAGAAAATCAGAAATAGGCCTACCCTTAAACCTAGAAAGGTCAAAAAGAAAAGGGAATCTGTCACCCATAGGAGTATCCCCAATCCACACATCCTCCCAAAATCTGATTTTCTGACCCAAAGCCAAATCATACCTGATATGATGTAAAAAGGTAGGAAGAATTTCAGGAATAGCCTTCCAGGGGCAGCAAAGGTAGCTCTATGAAAACATCCAGCATCCCATCCATAGCTTGACATGCAATGAATATTTGCAACAATCTTGTGCCATAATTTCTCATTTTCTTTGGGAAACCTCCATAGCCATTTGCTGAGCAAAGCCCGGTTCTTCAACTTAACATTTACCAATTCCCAATCCCCCTTTTGCTTTCAATTTCTCATCTAACCAAATGATCCTTCTTTTTTTCCCCCGGCTCCCAAAAAAAATCCCTCGTGATTTTTTCAATTTTCCTCACTCTCATGTGGCATCCTAAACACTAACATGTAGTACACTGGAAGATTTGCTAGGGTAAGAGCTAAATGCTTCTCAACCCTTTCCATCACTAGAGAGCAAAAACTAGCTGATCTAGGGTTATTTCCTAGAGGCAAGTCTAAGCATTTTATAGGCCATTCTCCTTTCTCATGGCCTAGGGAATCTGCCATAATCCTCAGAACATCCTCTTCAATGTTGGTCCCAACCACTAAGCTCTTTAACCAATTAATACTCTTCAATGTTGTTTTGTTATGGAAAGGCTTCCATCAAGGTCTATCATCTTCATTTTTTTTTTATCAACAACTCAAGAAAATTTTCTTAAGATTAAAGAACAAAACAAACAGTACAACAAGAAGTTGTTAGGTCAAAGTCAAAGACCCTTTACAGCAAAGATCCCCCCCCACACACACACACAATTAACATTGACCCCAAAACAAATGCTGCCTATGAGTTCCTTGCTTAGCCAATCCATCCACCAAACCCTTTCTCCTTTTTTCAACCAGCCAACGACTATTTTTGAGTCCCCTTCAACAATCAGCCTCGTAATTCCCATATCCTTAGCTTTTTGCAGCCCAACAATAGCAGCCAAAAATTCAGCTCTCACTGAGTCACCTTGATCTATAGGTCTGGAATACAGGCCACATATATTCCCATTCTCATCTCTATCATCTTCATCATCATCTAAGCCTTGTCCCAACTTAGGGGTGCAAATGGATCGGATCATGATCCGATCCGAGATCCGATCCTATTTGGTCGAATTCGAATCACCCCTACTCGAATCTTTGGATTGGATTGGATTGGATAATAGGATCCGATCAGAATCGGATTGGATTCGGATCCCCCCATCTGATCCAATATATATTATATATTTATAAATATAAAATGCATATATATATGTTATTTATTTATAATTATTTTTTATATGATATTATTATAAATTTGTTATATTATTTATTTTTTATAAAGAACATGTATATATATGATGAGAATAATTAAAAGATACTTGTATTTTTTGTTTTTACTTTATTTAAATTAGTATATTTTATTTTTCTTTTAATAATTTATTAATTTTTAAAGAAAACAAGTCAGATCGGATCAGATCCCAAGATCCGACTTACCGATAAGATTCGAATTCAAACCGAGTCCTATCAGATCCAGTCAGATCGGATCCGACATGAACAATGTCGGACCGGATTCGAATATACCCTGATTTGAATCCAATCCGATCCATTTGCTATCCCAACTACATGGGATTGGCTACATGAATCCTTTTTTGTCATTCCATTCTATTCAGTGCCATATCCATTGTTAAATTATGAGCGCTTAATTCTAACTACTTCATCCCATATCGGCATTATCCTTTTTGGTCTGCCTGTAGCCCTTCTAACCCCTTAACTTGTAACAGATAGCTTCTTCTTACTGGTGCTGTAAATGGTCTTCCATGCACATGACAAAACCATCTTAATGTACTTTCTCTCACTTCATCACCTATCAGAGCTACTCTTGTGTTCCTTGATATGACTTCATTTCTGACCCCTATCCTTTCTAGTTTTTCCATCATTTATCTCAGCATACAGATTTCTGCCACACTCATTTTTTGGACATTTTGATTGACTGCCAACACTCTATATACAACATTGCTAGCCTTATAGCTGTTTTATAGAATTTCCTTTTTAACCTGAGTGGTAATCACAACTTACCCAAAAGGAATGCATTGATTTCTTTCACCTTCCTTACACCCAAACCCCCATTTTTCTTAGGTACAAAAACCTTGTTCCAATTCACTAGGTTGTATTTAAAATCTTCTTCCCATCCTTGCACAAAAAATCTTGCATTCGTTTTTCTAAAGTTGCTGAAATACTTGATGGGATGGGGAAGAGTGATGATAGTATGTTGTAAGAGAAGATGGAACAATTTTTATGAGTGTAGGTTCCCCCCTTTTGAAAGATTTTTGGACTTCCAAGAAGCCAACTTCTTCTCCATGCATTCTACAATAGGACAACTTTTATGAGCGTAAGTTTCACCACCCTTTGAAAGATATTTGGACTTCCAAGAAGACAACTTCTTCACCATGCTTCCACAATCAGCTCCCAAATGGATTTAGACATGCATTTTATTCCCAATGGCATCCCAAGAAATTAGTAGGAAGCTTGCCTATCGTACACAACTCCAACTGCTATTATTTCAGTTTTGTGTATGTTCATGTGGAGACCAGTCACAACTTCAAACTGTCTGAGGATAGCCATGAGAATTTCTGGTTAATCTTGCAACGCATTGCAGAAAAAGTGTATAATCAGTGAACGGAACAACTCCTATTTGGTCCCCTCCTACTTTGAATCCTTCCAAGAAGCCCTTTCTACCATTTTGCTAAATGTCTCCATAATGCAAACTTTAGTTTGAATGTTTTCCTTAATTCCCCATCTTAAACACTTTTTTTTTATCAGCAACACAGAAATGATTTCATTAATAAAAAATAGGCATGAGTACAACAAGAGGTTCCCCATCTTAAACATTTATTTCTAAATGTTTATAAATTGCACTTTTAAGCATTCAAAATCTATATGAATCAAAATGACATTCCTATATTCACAATTTGGTCCAGGTTTGGACTGTGTTGTGCACAGATATTTTTGTCTATGTAAATAAACATAAAGAATAATTGATAACCTGAAATGCCACCTCAATAAACAGAAGAGGATAATAGACCCATAAAACCAATTCCATATTCATTCAAAGTTATTTTCCAAAGAATTCATTTCATGTAGTGTAGAATATTAAAGAATGAGACTTTGTGTCATTATAATGAAAAGGATTGATTAACAAAGGAGAAGGTATATGCCTTCAAACCCTATAACCAAAAGAGGGAATTCCAGAAAAGCCGACTTACAAAGAAATTGTACACAAGAAAAAAAAAAAGAAAACAAGAGATACAAAATAAATTGTCTAAATAAAAAAGGGCATGTGTGCAAAACATAAAGACTGCATTTAGTTGATTATTCCTGTGCAAGAACTTCCATATAAGTTTTGAATCATCCAAACCACATTTAGATAAAAAGCATATTATTAAAGAGCAATGATATTGAAAATTAAACAATATAGCATTTTCCAATTATCTAACAGAGAGAAAGATCCAATATGCTTACTGTAAAGTTGACACCCAAGCTCTGGCAGCACCAGGAGTTTCAGCACAGAGGAAGTATTCTTTCTTCTGCGGGGTACCAATATCTAGTAAATATAGTTAAGAAGAATTCTATCATGGCACTGAGAGCACCATCCTTAACCTATAGACCGTCAATCAACCAATAAGAATCAATATCTAAATCTTCCCTAGCATCGAAAATAAATTTTGAGATATTGCTACAAGTGGATACAGAAACAACAGCCATCATATTTTGGTAGTCCACTGAAACATATAAAAATAGAAAAATAGATCAGTAAACATCTTAAACTCACTCAGACAACTAGCCATTTACAATAACAGAAGTAAAATTTTATACTGATCTTACTGAAAATTTACAGGAGAAACTGTAATTGTACTGTTTGCATCAAATATGATAGTTCCCTTGACAACTGCTTCATTCCTCCGTGTCCTTCAGCATGAAAAAAATGGGGAAACAATATTAAAAGTCTATGCATTGATGTTTAAGAAAAATGATAATAGCAGAAATAGAAGCTTTTTCAAAGAAATACATCATGATACACTACTTGTATTCCATTTTGCCTGTGGTAGGGTCTAAGATCACCCATCGCTCATTCCATTTCCTTAGCTGTTCACAACATTAACATCATCAGAAACACAAAATGCAACAAAACGACCCAATCAATGTCAGAATAAGGAATAAGGAGGGAATGCCAAGCTGAAGGCTTCACCCCTATAATAGCTTACTGCACTTGGGAGGCTATTAATGAGTTTGTCTTTTCTAGAAGAGTCAAGATCCAGGTAATGTCATTTAGAAAATAATATTTGGAACCAGGTGCCTCCAAACATTGTGCTTAATCCATCTTCTTCAAAGAGTAAGAGAAGAAATATCCTTTGTAAATGGTCTCCTCCTAATAGAGGTTTGTCAGACCATATCATAATGTGGACCTGATTCAAAATTATCCTTAACAGTTTTCATGGTTGAGTTTTAGGAACTACAAAATGTTATTTCTTTTTTATCAGCGTGGCATTAAGGAGATTCAAAACAGTCACAGCAATTTTTGAAAGCCTGAATGAGGAAGAGGCTATAAATTGCATCACATGATAGATTATATAATACCATGATTGTTGTAAATTCTATAATTAAGGGTAGAACTGATGTTCCATGGCAGTAAATGCCTCTCAATGAAAATATTTTGGGCCTCAGTTATCAATTTTTGGACTGTTGTTTGTATAATAGTAGAGTTGTTAACTGGGCAGCAGATAGGCGAAGGGATCTCCTGCAAGCACAGGCATCCAACCACATATTGGGAACATCTCCCTGTAAATTTAACATATATGTATGGGAGAAATTGCCAATGTGTGACCAGATGCCATGTGCCCAGATTTGTGCTTGCAAGAGATCCAGACTTGCATATAGGAGCCACTGCTTGGTGCAATGGTAAAATCTCATGCTCACAAGCATGAGAAAACATGTTCAAATTTGAGAGGAGCCATCTTATGCATAAAAAGATGCCAAAGGTTAGGTCCATATCCAGTCCACCCCTCCCAAGCCACCAAATAGATGGGACCAGCATTAGGTAATGGCCTTTTATAAGGTGGTTCACCATTCACCAAATTAAATCTTCTCAACCAAAATGAGTTTGGACTATTCCTCCTTAAATGATTTCAAGAAGTCCTCGTGAGGATGCAAGGTTCTTCCTTTACTAATCCATATAGCTTGTCTTTACCAAAAAAGCAACTACTCATTCAGATCCCTTAATCAAACAAGCAGACTCCTTAAATGATTTCAAGTTTGAAGCAAGTTTTCATAGTCTGCACCTTTATTATATTCCCACACCAGCAACGCTTAAAATTTTGAAACGTTGGACAATACCATAACTATACTAATTATGGATTAAAAAGTATTAAAAATTTGATCTATTTCCATATCAATTATTTTGCACCATCAGCAAAACATAAATCTGATGACTTAGAAAGGACAAGGACTGCCAAAGCTACATCACTAAACTAATTCCAATGTGAAGTCTTGTCTTGTTGTCTCTCAATCTCATGGGAAGCATTTTTGTCTAGCTAATGGGTTAGAGAAAACAGAGATCATCAAATTAAGCATAGAATAAGCGAATCAACCTTAGATTTCACCACAAAACGGAAAGCTGAACACCAATTGATACTAGGACCTATGTTTAATTTGAAAAAACCTAATTTTCTGTAGCCATTGGTGAAAGTAAAATGAATCAACTAAAACGATCCCTGAGCTTCAAGTTTCATCAGCAATCCTCCACTAAGTTTTACTAGGGAATACTAAACTTCCATAGCTAAATAGAAATCCTGAAACTCATACCGTTTCAGATCTCTTTAGGAGAGGTCCCTGCAACAGATTCTTTCCCGAACCCGACGTCAGTTGCCTCTTGATCTTCTCCAAGCTATTCCCAGTCTCATCTACTCGCTGCAATATCAAAAGATCCCAAGAAAACAAGAATTTTAGAAATCAAAGAACTCTAACTGTCGATTCACACAAAAAGGGAAAAAAAAAAGAAAAAAGAAAGAAGAAAAAAGAAAGAAGAAAAAAAAAAGAAAAGACAACTGATCATCCCTTCATTCTTCCAATTATGTACAGGAATTAAAGAGAAACAAAACCCTAATTTTGTAAAGGAAAAATAAACCACCAACCGGAGAATTCCCATTGGAAGCCATGGATGAGAGGAACCGAAGAAAATACAGACTTTTATATAAATTGCAGAGACTTATTTATTGAATAAAATTTGTTCTTTTGTTACTTCGGGGCTGTTAGGTTTCGTAGACTTGCAGGTTGGCCGTTGACGTCTATACAGACTGCCGTTTGCTTCCGCTCTGTAGCCTTTTACAGCTCCCTTACTTTACGGGTGCAAAATGGGCTGTTGGACGGGCCCAATCCGAGCCCGACTCATCCAACCCGAAATTTCATGCGGACAGGAAGCAGGATTTGGATTTTTGCTGATTGGGCTGGGCCCGAGTTTGAACTTTGGGTAACCCGAGCACGACACTAGGACCCAATTGACCCGCCTAAGCCCAAGTGATCAACCCGAGTCCAATCCATCCAGCTATAAACATTCAAAATATCAATAACTTAACACTCTATGCACCAATTTCTGCCCTGAATTAGCATTAATTTTGAACTGGCACCTACCCCAACAATACTTTCCAACTATAATTTCTGACCTTGGGCTGAACCGTCATTCTCCCTTAAACTTAACCACAGATGGTACCAACTAGATCAGTTGGTAAGATCTCAAGAATGTTTTGGTGGAGACTTGAGAACAAATTCCCTATCACCATATTTTTTTCAACTATTATTTTGATAACCCTCTATTGGATGGGTCTTACATAGGAGATTAGTACCATAATAGTGTGATTCTAGATCTTTTCTATATGGCAAAATCTATGGTGTATGAATGCAGGGTGAAGCAAAAAACATGGACCAATGATAAAATGGTACATTACATTCAACTTTTTTAATGTTGTTAAAGTTTTGATGATAAGTATATCTTATAAAATGTGAATCAATGAAAAATAATCTTCAATGAGACCTGACACAAAAAAGACAAGTCAACAAAACTTGGTTTGAAGCAAATAAATCACAGATATACAAACATAAAAAATGAGATGGGAAAAAACAAAGCATTTATAGGTGATAAGAGAAAAAATAAATCATAGACATACAAACACCAGAAGAACCCATGCAAGAACCCAAACGGCAGTACCAGAAGAACCCAGGCAAGTAAAAGGTAGTACCAGAAGAACCCAGGCAACAATCCAAACAGCAAGAATGAAAATAGAAGAAAATAGAATGAGAACAGTAGTATGAAGTTCATATAAGAAGGAATATATATAGAAAATGATCAACAGGCAAATATCATCTAACGAGGAGAAGAAATTATTATGGCTATTCACTTAGGCAATCAAACACTGACTAAAATACGAAGAGACATATTAATCCCAATCAAGCATGTAAGTAATGGACTATTAGATTAATCCCAGTTGAGCATACAAGTGATAGTAGGTTATCATGTTCGCAAGTGATAGGCTATCAGATCTACGAGGCAGCATGTATCACACGTGTAATACATGCTGGCTAGGATTGTCGGATTTTCTCTTTCGTTCTTCTGTGCAAGGTCTCTTCTGTGGAATGTAGGCTTTCCTTCGAATTCCGAAACAAAGCCATGGAGGGCAAAATAGAGAGGGAAAAAGAGACCTTCTTCCTCAAAGGTTGCCAGAATTGACAGGGAAACTCATTCATTCTCCCGTTCTCCCTTTGCAACAGTAGGGAAACTCGAAAGTAGTTTGTGAAGAGACTCGAAAGGGTGAGCTCTCTTGAAAGTCATGCTCTATTTAGATTCCATCTACACGCACAAAATGTTTGCATGTGAGACTGTTAATCTACTCGTACGAGTAGATTCCATTTACTGAATGGTGAGCACATCCATTCTGTAATAATATAGATATATAAATATAGATGAGTGGACCATGTGATGTATTTAGCGTGATTGGTTAAAATATTGATTTAATGTGCCACATATATTCATTAATGCAATGTAGTCTCCATGCTCTTGTTGTACCACAAATATTCAAATGAATGATAAATGTTATGCATATTCTACTAGAAAGTATTTAAAATATATAAGAATAATGCATACTTTTCATAGATTAAAGTTATTTTATTTTTTGTCTAATTTTATTGATTTTTAGTTTACATTTTCTCTTAGTGGTGACCCACGTCAGTGCTCAATTTTTCCTAGAGCTTTTAAGACTAATTTTAACTTCATAAAGTTTAATCAAACGGTTTTGCACAAAAAAAAATACTTTTCCTCAACCTCACAGCACTAAAGTATGCATAATTGTTTGTAAAGATTATTTTGAGTAAAAACAAATATGTTGTAAGCTCCTTGAGCACCTTTATTCACCCTTTCTTTTCAAAAATATGGTATATTCTCATTTTTAAAGGTCTTAGAGTATGCTTTGATACATATTACCTTAGATTGAAATTTTCATTAAAGTTCATTATAATTTGAAAATAGAATTTTATTTTGAGTTTTTATCATCATTGATATATATTTAATTTTTTTTTATTTTATTCAACTGAAAAAGCAAACTAGAGAATCACATCCTATAATGCCATCCCTCAATAGAAAAAATAAACAAATCAGAGAGTTAAAAAAATAATGAAAACACCTCACTTTTAACATGGTCTTAAATGAAGAAATATCTCATATATATATTCTTGCAAGGAGCTCTAATAGATTTTAAGAAGATTATTTAAGATTTCTTGTTTTGTGTATAGATAGTAAAGGGTTAGGTTAAAAGGGAAATGTTGTGTGCTCTATTGTTGTTGGGGCAAAACAAGTTATACCCCCCTCTTTTTGATATATAATGGTTAATAAAGTTTAAAATGACAGCCCCCTCCACCTAAAGTAAATTTAGGGGTCTTTAAAAAAAATACATAATATGGCTCAAAGTTTAGTTTGCTAATACATTGGCATATTTGTTTGCTTCTCATAGGGATGTACATGTATTGGTTTTGTCTCACACTGAAAAAACATAAGAAGTGTAAGGGACTTACATACAAGGATTGACCTACAACTTGATGGCATAAATTTTTTGGTTAAAGGTGATGTTCAACTTTTGTGTACAAATCCTATATTCAAGTATGGTCTCCCCAGTTTTGGCAGTTCTCTTACTTTCCATCGGTATTATTAGATTTAATGGCTTAGTTGGAGTTAGCAAGAGTAATTGGTTACTCCTATGGTTAACTCCACCCCTAGTTAAGTGTTTTCGAATAGGTTAGAATTGGTGATTCTCCATTGTAAACTAGTGATTTAATGTGGGTTCCCTATGATCGTAAGCAAAACAAAGGTTCTTAGTAAGATACATATGTCAAAATGCCAATGTTAATATAAATGCCACTTACCCAAATATAGGACATGTCAAAATATTGAAAATGTCAGATGAAAATACTATAAAAATTATAGGCATTATGGAAATATTATGAAATATGTGAAAATATGCAATGATATTTTGTAAAATGATAAAAAATATTAGTATATTTTTCTAGACTACTATTTTATTCCAAACCATTACACAAAGCTAAAAACTAAAATAATAACGAATTAGTGAATAATAAAATTATCCTACTGACTGTAAAAGTTCACAATTACCATTTAAATAACATAATATTATACATATAAAAACTAAGGTTTAGCATCACATTCAAAACCATTATACAAAGCCAAAAAAAGTACTAAAATTGATAACAAAATGCTAAATAATAAAGACATCATACAAACTTTAAGAATTAATAGTTAATAGTTAAACTACATGATTTGTTACATAAATAAAAACTAAAATTTAACATCACATTCAAAAGAATTTCATACATGGATCAAAGTTGTTATTATCTCCATTAGGTGGGAGAAAATATTATTGCTAGATCTGTTTGTTTATAATATTGTTGTCAACTAATTATCATATTATGATACCATCTCCTATATTCCATTACTAAAAAAATCATCTATGAAGGCAACAAAAAATGCCTCTAAAAATAATTAGAGGCACTCAGGTGATTGTCTGTAAATGTCTAGCTTCTAAATGTTATAGAGGCATTTGACTGATAATTAGAGGCACATTTTATAAAATGCCTCAAAAAAATAAGATATTGAAGCACGCAATCATGCCTCCAAAGCATTGCCACTAAAAAGCATTATGTAGAGGCATATATGAATGCCATCAAATGTATATTTTTAGAGGCATTTTAATTAAATTTGAGACAAATTTATTTGCCTCTAAAAGTAATTTTAAGAATCCTAATTATGTTTTATAGTAGCACTTGTAATTACCACTTGGTTGCTCTTATTTAGAAGCACTTGCTACCGCCTCTGAAGATCATTTATTTCTGTTTTAAAATACTATTTTATCATATGTAAAGCTTATATAAACCTATATAAAAACATTTAATTTGTTATTTAAAACAATTCATTCATATATCTATTAAAAGATAGCCATTGTTTCTAGATATTGTTTCATATTAATTGATACAAATTAAAAGAAAAGAAAATTACAAAAAATGAATCACTTCCTATTCTAAGAAAAGAAAAAAAGTAGTTGATCTTGACACCATTTGTATTCTTTTTCTTCTACAACCTACAAGAAAAAATCAATACGACAAAAAGCAAAAAAGATTAGTTAAATTAGTAACTATAATTTTTTTAAAAACAAAAGATCTTTAACTATTTGATTACATATTACATGATACTTACCTTAAAAACAACATTTGAAAAGTAGCATTTTCCTATTCTTGCATCAAAGCCGTAAATCCATACCCTAGTATATATCAAAATAACTTTCTATACGTTCTTTGCTCCTAATCCTGGGGCAAGTTGAGGTTTCAAGCGCTTGTATGTGTGGGGATGGGTGGGTTTTTGGTTTGTTGCTCTTGTGATCTTTTAATTTCCTTTTTTCTTCCATCACTGGTAAAATGAAAATTATAAGCCGTCCTTGTTAGTGAGGTAAACAAACAAAACTCAAAAATCAAATAAATAAGGGTGATTGAAATTAAGTAGTCTAAACATATTTCTACCATATATTGTTATCATTCTACCTATTATTCTTCTTCACTACCTTTAGTTGTTTCAGTTGTTTTACACCTTTGTATGTGGTGTAATATTTCTTGAGTTTTATTGGTCTGCCCCGCCGCCGCCCCCCGCCCCCTTTTTGATAAACCAAGGTCATTAGTGGAAAGACAAAGAAAATCCCTATTTCTAATGATAAAAACCAATATAGTTTTAATTAATGATTTGGGGTGTT